GGCATTGAGAGTGTCCATGGGCGGCGGTATCACTTAACATCAGGTGAGCCTCCTGCCCGTTTGCCCCCCGTTCTATAAAAAAAAAAATGCATTGTATAAATGATAAGTGTGCACAACATTAAAAGGAAATCATAACAATGATAAAAGAGATAAAAATAAACGATATTAAACTTGAAAAAATAAATTAAGAAATACAAATATTTAACCAAATATGCAAAAAAAATTGGAAAAATATCAATTTTTTTTCAATTTGGCTAAAATATTTATCTCTTTCTAATTGTGCTTACGCTGAAATTAAGAGAGGTAGATGATCAAACGGTGCGTATAAATATACAATTTTTTCTAGGACTTCGAAGATCGTAGTAAAATGGACAGCGTTAATCCTTCATATTGGTCGACATACAATTACAATTCAAAGGACCTTGTATGCTACGCTTTAGGAGGTCTGTATTTATTTATGTCATTCACCCATAATTAAGGACTTACATAACATTTTTTGAGTAGTAACAGTAAGACTACTTATCTTAAAAAAAATTGTTTTAAACATACTACTGAATAATTGTTAAGCCGTTATTGTTTATATTATTTTCAACTTTCCAGTACTTTACACCACATAATGGTAACTTTTAGGTATAAAGAGTCACTAGGTGGTCACGAAACGTTTTACTGTACTTGGGTACAGAAAAACGTTACGGCGCGTTACATGGGGTGGGGGTCAATAATCTCCACAAATTTCGTGACGTAATACTTGAACGCTCCCTAAGTCACTTTTCTTTTGACACAACTCTTTTAATTTTAGAATAATAAAATCGCTTTGAGTTGCATTTTCCCCGATTAATAGTAATTGTTTTTCTTCAGTTGGAGCATCAGTTGTGAACCCGTCAGACCTCAAGTTCCTTTATGAGAGTCATGAGCAGTTCACAGCTCTACCCACATTCTTCATCCTACCAGGGATGTGCATGGAATCACCCGTCGTGGGCAATGCCATGCCTAAAGGGAAATATGCTGACTTTACTAATGTAAGTTTTTTGAATGAGTTCTATTCGTCCGGTTTTTATATTAAAACGTAAGCACTATAGGGGGGCGAGGGGGGTCTTAGATTTTCTTAATTTTTATTTTGGTTGATAATTTCGGGGGAGCTGGAAATAGATGGTGATTACGTCAGCAGTACCTTAGAAATGACAAGGGGAATTACCGTGCGCTTGTCTAAATTTTTTCATTCAATTTATTGTATTGCTTCGATACGATTGATGATTTGACGTGTTATAAGCCAAGCAAGTTATTGTTTGTGTTACTGTTAATTGACTGAAAAGTTGAAGTCAAATTGACAAATGCAAGTTATACCAAAAAATTTTCGCGGTTAAAAAAAACTCATAAACTCTCATACTTCTATACATTTTGTACTTTTGTAAGAGCTTTGGTTTTTCTGACAAGGGAGAAGGGAAAATAAGGAATTGTAGTAACTCTGCTTACGTAATATTTGAACGGCCCCTTAATTTCTGCGTAAGGATACAAAATAAACAACCAAGATATCAGCGGACATATAACAATAACAGATTATATTAATCTAATTTTGATAAAAAGTTTAATCACGAATAATATAAATGTGATAGCAAATACTTGTTATTTTATTCTTAAATATGTTTATTGGTACGTAAATTATTTTGTTTGTCATAGCAACAATATGACTAGTTTTTTTTTAAATTAAATCGATATTATCGAAATCTAATTTGAACATTTTTAAAATTTCCCAAGCTTCTAAATTGTTAAAAGAAATTGTCTCGCGTAGATACTTCACGGTGAGCAGTACGTGGAGTTTTTTGGTGATTTCCCGGGGACAGAGGGAAACTTCACCACCAGGAACTATGTGGTCGACGTTTTGGATAAGGGCTCCAGTGCTATCGCCCTTGTTAACAGTAAGTATTTTCACATCAAGTCAAAAAACATTCAAATAAATTTTCTTTTCAGGTTTTGAAAGTTATACAAGACTATACCTGTTATAATGCGTTTGTTGCTTTAAAGACTTATAAAATATATTGAGATAGGCGTTAAGGGGCGTAACGCTTAACTTAGGGCCTTATCATACTAGCGGTTCGAGAGCGGCTACCGGGCGGGACGGGCGCGCAGCCAATTCGTTGCAGACGCGCAGCGAAACCGCTGCGAATACAGCGTGGACGCCATTTTGTACAGTCTCGTACAAACGCCAGTCTGTTCGCCCCGCCTCACTTCAGTTCGTACGAGACACGAATGCAAGATTGTGATTTTTGTTTGTTATTTGTTTCGATTGTGGGATATTTAAACGATTTGATTCTATATTAATTCTCAATTCTTCTTATAATATCTCTTCTGTCAAATATAGTTGACAGAAGCCAATGTAGTATAGTATCAAATATAGTTGTTTTCCATATAAACCGACATCAACAAATCGCTCCGCCCCGAAGCCGCTCGCAAACCGCTAGTATGATAAGGCCCTTTGGGTCAATTCCGTACGTCAAAAAAGTATTGGATTTTGATTTTCTTTAGTGTTGTTTCTGAATCTGAAAGTTAATATGGCTCCCGTAAGATTTGAGATAATCTTTTAATATTTATCAGGTGAAGTGTACCAAGACAAAGAGCTGGTAGTCCGCACCCAGCAGCACATTTTCGTTGTCGGTCAGGGAGGGTTCAACGGACCACGAAGTAGTGATAAGGCGGTGGGAGTACTCCCACCTCCGAAGAGGTCACCTGATGCTGTATTGGAACAGCGCACTGCTGAGGATCAAGCTGCGTTATATAGGTAATATGATTTTAGAGATTATATATAAAATTAATACTGTGAGCAGTGTTAGTGGTTAAGCGTTGGTGTCTCGGCCCTATCGTACGTGTGAAGACTGGAAAATAATATTTGGTCTCAATTGCAATAGCCTTAAGCCCGTATTGTATAACGTCAATCAAACATAAATCCAGATATGTCAAACCTTTTTCTTGTATAAATTTTGACATATTTGACAGCACTCAGGAAAAGAATGTGACTTGATATGAATTAGACTCAAAAAGCATTGATTTTATTAATTCTCTAAAAATTCAGTCCTATCACATATATTTACGTAAATATATTCTAATGCCGTAGATATTCAAAATTTTAAGGTTATCCGGAGACTTGAACCCACTTCATATTGACCCCAATGTGGCTTCAGCAAGTGGTCACCCCAAACCCATCTTGCATGGATTGGCCTCTCTCGGCTTCTCAGTCAGACATGTTATTGCCAAGTAAGTTCTTAACCATTTGTAATAATGCTTTTAAATTTTATTTATTTCTTTAGTTATTATTGGTTTTACTCTAACAGTCAGGCTCTTATAAGTTCTAAATTTAATAAAATTGAAAATCATTTAAAAAAAGTACTGTAACAAAAGTTTAAATCCCAATAAGTACAAAGTGTATATTTAGCATTTGGCATAATCTGTTTTCAATTATTAACCCAAGCTCCAATCCAAGATTGGCAATATTTCATTCTGCAAACTATTCATTTAATTATTCCCATCACTATTGTGATGATACCGCCACAGATATAAGATTTTGACTCTAGACTTTAATAATTATAAAATATTCCTTAGATATGCAGGCAGTGAATCAAAGAATGTGAAGGCCATAAAGGCTCGGTTTGCGAAGCCAGTACTTCCAGGACAAACCCTGGTCACCGAGATGTGGTTGGAAGGTACTCGCGTACACTTCCAGACTAAGGTTAAGGAGACTGGAAACATAGTTATAGCTGGTAAGTTATAGAAAGTGAATGATACTCTAAATGTAAGGACTAGTGGCTCTCCTACAAATTTAACAATATTAAAAATATTAGTAGGAAAACATCTTAGCATGTCGACAGACGTAAGCTTGAAAATATTTTGTAGAGAAAGTGATTTTGAGAAAAGATTTATTAAAAAAGCAAACTATAGCTATGAAGTAAGTGATTTTATAGGACTTTTCGAAAAGTGAATGTTTGGTAACACCTACAGTGGACTACCTTAGCTTTAATAACAAAACTTAGTAGATATTGTCAATGGCAAAATAATTATTTCTTATAGTTTAATTTTATAGTTAACTAAACTAAAACACCACATAACATCTGGCCATTACTTGCCATAGTAGCCGTCTATAAAATATATAATATTTTAATTTTCCTCTTATACAGGTGCATATGTGGACTTGAAGACTGTTGTCAAAGATGGAGCAAGCCCAGCTCCAGTGCAACAATCAACGTCGTCTTTAGACTTGAAGAGTGACTCATTATTTGCCAAAATCCAGCAAGGCATCAAGGAGAATTCCGACAAAGCCAAGAGTGTTGGTGCTGTATACTTGTACAATATTACAAGTAATGGCAAAACTGTTAAACAATGGAGTGAGTATTAAAGCAGGATATGCTAATAATAAAAGTTGATATTAATTATGAACACTTATCATATGTTAATTTGTTTATATGGAAGAGTATAAGTCAAGCATGTTTTTACTTAAAGGTTTTCAAATCTAACTTCAGTGCCATGTAATATTTAAGTATAATGCTATTGTTTAATTTGCTTGCTTTAAATAGTAAAACCCTATTTCCATGTCTACAATAACTAAAAAATGGTTAAGTTCATTTAAATAAAGTTTAATTTGTCTCTTATAATATATAATGTCCCATAATTATTTTTTTCAGCTTTGGACTTAAAATCGGCCATAAGTGTATATCAGGGTGAACCCAAGAATGGTAAAGCAGATACAACATTGACAGTATCTGATGATGACATGATTGAAATCGCTGCAGGAACATTAAGCCCGCAAGTTGCTTATTTGAAGGGAAAAATTAAGATTTCTGGCAATATTATGCTCGCTCAAAAACTGGGACCCCTACTTAAGTCTGGTGCTAAACTGTAAATGAATTTAATTTTATATGAAGGCAATATGTTATTTATAAGGAAATGTTATTTTACAATGTTATGTTTACAATCATTCCAATTTAAGGTGAGGGAATAAAATTTTATGCTTTTTAAATTATGGGTTTTATTTTTCCGTGTATTAGCAGTTCTGCTTCTCTAACTTCATCATACCAAGCTGCTTTCATATGTGGCTGAGAACTCAGGTCAATAAATTTTGTTGCTTCAATTTCTGGTAGCCCTTTAGTTTTTACTGCTATGCCAATTATGCAACAGTAAACACCTTTAAAGGAAATATCATATATGCTGAATGGTTTTAAAATAAATGGCTGTATAATTAAGAAATATAATTTTAAATGGATGATTATTATGTACCATGACTTTCAATGACAGAAACAAATACAAGAGATAATTAATAATGATAGGTATAGGTAAAAGGAACCGTTAAAAATGGCACTACAGATTAAGCATTCATCATATTTTGTTTGATTACCTTTTTTTAATAAACTTTTATCAATTACACCATCAGCAGTTTCACATTTCACAATTTTAGCTCGCCCAGAAGAATCAGAAATTATCAATATTATAATATCGCTCCCAACCGCTTGTTCAATAGTTCCTTGAACCCATACTTCTAAAGGTGTAGGCTTATTTATAAGATCTTTAATAAAGAACTTAGTGGGGTTCATAGCCATATTTTATAATAAAACTTTGCCTTTTTGAGATCAAATTTTACCTAAAAAATATTTTTTCTTACAACTTAATCACATACAATAAATATTATCAATGTCTCAAAGGTTAGAGTAAGAACTTATTAGCACTAATGCATAAATGCAACTACTTTACAGATTTTAAAATTCATTCACGCTCTCACTATAAACTTATTACGTAGACTAGTTTCAAAAAATAGTATTTTTTAAATTTTATCGTTGATTATTTTTGTTTACAAAATATAAACCACAGATTGAGATATTATACCAACTACTAAATAATTGTTTTTTTTTTGGGATTTTATGACCTGGCATTTACAACCTTTAGGTCAACTCTTAATTTCTACTAAATAATATTTTCGAATCTCAGACAGATTACACAATACGACCGTCGACACAGTGCCGCACAATGCCGCATAATGCTGAAGCTTAATTGGAACGTGAATTAGTTTTCAAATGCATCAGCAGAGTGCGATAAGTCAGTGTTGACAAAAAAATGGTCTGAATAGAGTTAGCAAACTCATTAATGTATAAATAATGTGGTAAACAATAATAGTTGGTTGAAAACTTTTTACGCTTAATTAAATAATCAAATTATTTCATTAAATTTTTTTTACTGAAATAAGAGAAAACCTTTAAAGAATATAAGGTTTTAACAAGCTAAATTAACAGTAAAATATTAAGTTTCATGTAAGAAGTTTACATCATTTACGTTTTGAGTAATATTTTTTAATGATTTCTAAAAAATTATATACTTTTTCAAAACCATTGCAATTTTTTCTAAAGTATAATCCTGTAAAGTAAATTTGTTTACAGATCCGAATTTTAAAATAAAATTGTATTCATATTTTAAATGTGGAATATAAAAAAAGTAACTATTTATACCTTCATCCATACTAATATTTATTTTTTTTAGCAGTTTGAAATAACTTTAATTATTTTCAAAATCTACGATGAAACGAAAGCCTTACAAATTTTTCAACAATAAATAATATTTACTAACGAAAATTTCGATAAATGCCAACTTAAAGAAAAATACTGGTCAATTTTCTGTCACTGTGTTGGTATTGTTTGCGAGAGCATTCGTTTTGAGAGTGCTCAATTGCGCGAAGCGTTGCTGTAGTTGGAACACTCAACGTTGAGCATTATGCCGCAAAATGCGCTCTAGTGCTGTAATTGGAAAACGCACCATTACACTTATTGCTAATGTATTGTTTTTGTTTTTAGAATTGTGATGGTTAAATTTCGAAACTTTGTCGCAGTTTTTTAAAGTTATTTACATGACCTGGATACAAGCTCTTTGGTCGAAATCTTCTAAATGACAAATATTTCGGGTTAATTTTAAGGGTTGCCAGTCACATCAAAATATAATATACTGGCATTCCTCCAAAATTATACAAATTCCAATAAAAGTCTTCCAATAAATTACTGATTTATCTAAATAAAAATGTGTTCAGTACTTCATCTTTAAAATTAATAATTGTTTTACGCGTATCTGAAAAGCTAAAGCAAGAATATTACAAGAAGGAAATAAAAAGTATGCTGTATGAGTCGTTCACACTCCAAGATGGTTCCATTTGTACAGTTTTGATCTGTGTCCAATTTCTCAAAAAATGTACAAATTTTATATTGTAAAAAAAGAACTACCTCCAGAAAAGTCTTAAACAAAAATATTATTGGAACGACTACTGTTTGGCGCACAAAATACATTGAAATAAAGAAAGAACCAGAACAAATTACTTACGATTCTTCTCGGAGTAGATGGATTAATAGGTACTTATCCGGGTTACTAAGATGGCTTCGTTGATGATCCATTATTGATTTTTAAGTCTAAATGTCAGATATGAATTCATCATATTTCCTCAAATTGACGAAGAGAAATCTTTTGTGGTAATGGATAACTCTACTCACTACTGCACTGAATAAAGCTCTAACTATGAGCAACTGAAAATCTGACATGCAGTAGTGGTTACGTGAAAAAGGGTTAATTTTGAAAGCAATTGGGCTATAGCAATGCTGTACGACCGTAGATGACCTCATAAATGGTGGTGATGGTGACAACACCACGAAGTTTTAAGATAACCTCCATATCACTGCGACCTGAAACCAATTGAAAAAATATGGAGCCTTGTGGTTGGGAAAAATGCTTCTCAAGACCCAAAAGAAATTGTAAAATTGTCAGAAGATACATTTGCAACCAAAAGATTGGCGAATACAATGTCAGCGATAGTATTATAGATGAAGAAATTGACCGATTTATCATTTCTACAATAATTGACAGCGAAACTGAGTCAAATCACGATACTAACCTGCACTATTCATTTAGTCATTGCAGTACATACCTATGGAAGAACTCCAATTGATCATATGTATGCAATGAATACTTATCTCTTAATATTTTAACTTATGTACCTATTTATTTTTTAAATTCCGTCCATTACTTTATATTATTCTAAGTTCGAGATTCATTCTTACATTTGCAGAATAATGGGGTGTTAAATTATTGCGTGCTGGCAACATTACAACGCGCGATCACTAGTTGTGTGTTAAAAGCATTTAATAAAATTTCTGAAATGTACTGGTCATTTCTATTTTAATTATAGCATTATTAACACTGTAACAGGAGGCAACGGGCTGAAGGCGCACTTGATGATAAGTGATAGCGCCGCCCATGGACACTTACATTGCCAGAAAGTATGCAAGTGCGTTGCCGGCCTTTTAAGGAAATGCTTCAGTTCGAAAATTCGGAAAGGATCGGAAATAGCCGTCATGCACCATTAAGAAGAGGCGGAGAGGGCCAGGGAGGTCGATCCCGCAGCCCATCCGCGTTGCCGTAGGAGACCACAGCGTCGCCGTTGCAACGTGCAACCCCGTGTGTAATCCTGGGCACGCAGTCGCTTTAGCGGGGGAACAGGGGTTCATGCGTCCAAAAGAAGGGATGTTGACATATCCCAGCAAGCATTGTACCCGGCCTCCCCCAGCTTTATAAAGCAGGGCGAATTGGCCGATGTGAAAGGCCCTTGCTGTGCCAAGGTCCATTCCACATCATTCGTGGCCGTAGAGGACCGTGATATAAACGGCTAATCGCGTGGCTGGTTGCGGACAAGGCTACGCTGTTACCGTGTCCTGCCTCGGGCTGCTGGTGGCGCCGTGGGGTTTTAGTGGGTTTGCACAGCAGCGAGTCCCACATAGCCCTTCACCATCAGGCAACCGTGCTGCGGGAGGGTATGCGTAACCCATTTCCCCACGAAAAAAAATTACGGGGCTGAGCCAATCGGCACGGTGGGCGTTAAAATAGCTAAATATCACGATTTCAGAAAAAATATAAACTTTTAATTCTAACAGTTTTAATGAAGAATCAATATGTTTATTGATGAAGTAGGTATATTGTCGTCAACATAACAAAAAAGGTAATTTAGCACTGCTACTTGCCGCAAGACTAGCATTCAGAGTGACGCATTATACGCAATATAATAATAGAAAGATTTTTTTGCAAACTAATAGAATATATTATATTGTATGTATTAATAGTTAACTTAAAATTAATTCATCTATGTAAACGTTTTAGACGGACAGATTAATTTTTGCATTTTATTATTCTCCCTGTCTCACATTTTACGAATTTATTATATATTTTGTATTTGTTGATATTATCTGTTATGATATAAGTTACTGAAAATTTGCAGATTTTAACTACGAGTAGATTTTTGTAAATTCTATCTAAAGAGAAGTAAGGCTAAACGTTCATTAGCAGTATTATCAATTTAATAAACATAATAATATATTTATTAGAACGTATAAACTGGTTTATGGGTAAAAGTTGCTCATATTTCAGTAGACTTAAACTTAACTATTAAATAAGCAACTGAGTTATTATATACATATTAAACACCTATTAAGTTATAATTATATAATATACACTAGTGGACCCCACAGACGTTGTCCTGCATGATATTTAAAGCGATTAGGATATTAAGCAAAATATGAAAGTACCGACTGCAGTGCCATCTGCCGGGCTGATTTGTGAATCTAAACCATTCCCAGATCCCCTTGAACACACACAAAAAATTTCATCAAAATCGGTCCAGTCGTTTGAGAGAAGTTCAATGACATACACACTCACAGAAGAATTATATATATATAAAGATATAAATGTAGGTACTCATTTCATTATTGTATAGGTAAAAATGCATTCCACATAAAAACCATCTTCTGTAAATATCAAAATTACTTCAAAATAAAATCTTCCGCCATATTTCATGGAGAATTAAAAATATCCACCGAACCCGGTGTTTATGAGGCGATACCGTAATGAAACCGTGCTTCAATATTCAAGCTTCGGCGTAACAACTCAATCAACGCAATTTTAAAATAAACGTTTTTTATACAATACACTTCTCGCACGCACACAGATGTAAACGAACAAAAAATACGATCCGGCCGCGCCGAAGGCCTCAATAATGACTTTCTCGAGAACTTGTTACAACTCTCCGTGGATGTGACAGTGCAGTTATGAACCTTATGATAACGGAAATAGTTAATGTACATAATAATGAAAAAAATGTTAGGTAATGCTATAGGTGACACATTTCTAAACTAATAATACTAAAACACAACAAATATCAGACTAAGTTCGCTGTCTTACAGTTAAAATTACATATTAGTTACTAGAATTGATTTTAGTCTAGACCATCAATCTTCGTCCAATCCGTACATAGTCGAAGACAATCTCGTGGCACGAGGACCGGTCGCGTCGCTCTAATAAAAGTAAATAAAAACAAGACAAGTCTATTTCGTATAGAACTGCGTAGATGAGAATGCACAGAGCCAGCGTAGCATTTTTAGGTCAAAATAATATGTACATGTGACAGAAAAGATTATAAAGCTAGCTTGGTGGGTGTAACCTTTACTTTTTTATGGCAATAGTTTTAACTTTATTTGATAAAAATTGTATTTCAACTAAGATATAATTTTATATCGATAAT